CCCCGCCCCCCGGCCCGCGAAGTGGCCGCGCGCCGGCTGGCCCCGCCCCGCCCCGCCCCCACCGGCGGCGCTTCCGGAGGAGGCCCCGCCCCTCCGGAATCCCCCTCGCTCCTGCCTCTGCTGAATCTTGGAGTCGGCTTCCCAGCTTCTGACTCACTCCTTCCTCGATTCGTTCGCCCATTCATTCGCCGATTCATTCATTCATTTCATCCATTCATTCATTCACTCTTTTCCTCGCCCTTCTTCATTCCATTAGTTCCGTGCGCTCCTTCTCGCCTTCCTTGACTTCTGTTTCTTCATTCGTACTAAAGGAATATATTGTCTGTAAAGGTGGGCGTCTTGTGGGGCGGGCACGCGGCTGGTGGGATGGGGAAGCCTTGTTTCCTGTCCCCTGCCCGTTTCTGTCAGTTTCACTTGCTTTCTCGTCTTTCCTATCAGTGCCCGGGAATATGGGTAGGAAAAGGGGACGCTCATTGTCTTTTTTAGTTGGATTCTCACTTCGTCGCCCAGGCTGGAGTGCAGTAGCACGCTCTCACGGCCACCCCAGCGACGACGACCCAATGGGTTCCGGTGATCCTTCCGCCTCAGCCTTCCAAGTAACTGGAACTACAGGCGCACGCTACCGGGCCTGGCTAATTTTTTATTTATTGTAGAGATGGGGGGGAGTCAATACCAAGTTGCCTGGGCTGGTCTCGAACCCTCGGACTCAGGCAATCCACTCTCCACGGCCTCCCAGAGTGCTGGGATTCCAGGCTGAACCACTGAGCCCGGCCACCCACTGTCTTTAACAGAGCAGTTTCCCCTTGGATCTCGGATGGACAGTCTCCTGTGTCACCTTCCCACATTACATAGAATTGCGCATGAGGACACGTTTTAGGAAAGTTAGTTTTGTCTACAATGCACAGTGGCTATGGGGTTTCTCCTTCCTCACAGAATGAGATGCTGGCCTTGAGTGGTTACAGCATCTGGGTGCCCCCAGCAGTCAGGGAAGTTTAGTTCCTCGTGGTGGGGCCAGGATGGGGAGGCCCCGGACATGCTGAGTTCACTCTGCTTCTGTCCCCGCCACAGCCCCAGCCGCAGCCCCAAACCAACTTTCCTCCTTCCCTGTGCCTGCTTTCCCTGGGCCCCAGGGAGACCGTGGGAGAACCCCACCCACCTAGAGAGCCCCATGATTGATCCCTTCCTTTTTCCTCCCCCCTCCTCCAAGCGCCATCCAGTGAGGGCCAGCAATGCCCTTAGAGAGTGATCCCCAAGGGAATATCTGTCTTTTCCATCTTTACCTTTGGAGAAAGGAAAATGGGGTGAGTGTAGACAGCTAGTAACCAGCTTTCCCTCCATCCTCTCCCTGCAATCTCGTTTTATTTATTCATCACTCACGTGTTTGATAAACATATATGGAGCTTCTCCCATGGTCTGACATTGTTCTCTCTACTGGAAGAAAACTGATGATCGTAGTAAGAGTAATAACTAACCACCGTCAACAAATCCCATGGTCCCAGCCTTCAAGAAGCTCCCGGGCAATGACAACTCAGAGTGACTAGGTCAAGACAGGAGTGAGAACAGGGTGTTGTGGGGGCACAAAGTGGGGCCAATTACTCAGTGGGGTGAGGGGCAAGGAAGGTTCCATTTGAACTGGGAATGGGAAGGGAAGAGGGCTAGGGAGATGAGAAGGACCTAGTTTCTTGGGGGGGGGGTGACTGGAGAGAGAAGAGTTGGGGGTGGGCTGGGGAGAGAAGATGACCTACTGTTCTCCACTCCCACAGAGTACCAGCGTGGGGAGAGTGCAAGGCGCATAGGGCAGTGAGAAGCCCTGGGGAGAAAGCCCAAGGAAACTGAGGCATCTTCCTCCCTTGTGGCCAGAGTGATTTCAGATATTCTCAATCTCCTCGATATGTTCCTCTCCCGTCCTTAAAGACTGGAGCAAAAGTAGAGTCATAAACTCCAGGCTCAGACCAGCTGGGCACAAAATCTGGCACTATCATCCCCGTTTTAATGTTGGGAAGCTGAGGCCCAGAGAGGTGGGCCGACTTGTCCAAGATAAAACAGTCGGAAAGTGCAGAGATGGCTTCTGACCCAATTCAAAACTTTTTCTGTGAAACCTTCTTCCCTTTATCAAGATCTAAACCACATGGGTGGGAGCATCTGAGGCCTCTGCAAGGACATAAGAACTTGGGAGTGTGCAGGGATCGTCCTTCTAAGTCATAGGGGCTAAATTTAAGGAAAATGCGCCCCAGCCCAGCCAGGTATCTGGCCTTGAGCCACAACAGGTGTGTGGCAGCCCCTTTTATGGCCACATGAGGTCAGCATTGAGTCACCTTATGTCCCCAACACTAGAGACTGCACTCTGACAGGAAGCCCTCCTGTCACTCCAGGAATGGGGAGAGGGACCATGGAAGTGTTATCTGGAAGGACGTCCTGGGGACTTCAACCCAGGTCACAGCATGGTCAGGGCCCTGACTTCACCTCTTCAGATCCAGTCTTCTTCGAGGCTGGGCCCCTCTGATCTTTTTGCTGGTGTGTTCTGGTTCCCTTTGTTTTGCCCCCACTCCCCACCTCCACCCACCCCAGACAGGCTCATCTTCAAGAAACAGGCCTGGTTTCCATGGTGACCAGCTGGTCAGCTGGCTTCTTCCAACATCCCCTCCCTTCATCCCCCTTTTCATGGAGCTTCCAAGGAAGGGTAGTGTGTATGAATGGAGGAGGCAGGGGTGGTCTTTTGTCTCTTGGGAGCTCCAGGGTTGGCCCAAAGGAGTGAGGCTGTGCTTCCTCCAAAGCTCCCTGAAGAGAAGACCGGAAGGCAGTGGGGTGGTGTTTGGAGGAGGGCTATCACAACTAAATGGGGAGTGTGACAGGATCTTATGTGGCTTGGCAATGGCCAGGATTAGGACCTCTGCTCTCTGCAGTGAGGACGGAACTAGGTGGAATGATCTGAAACCAAAAACAAGCGGGGCTAGAGTTAGCTGTGAGGCAGACTTCCCAAGATGCATAGGTGGGAGACACTGGAATGAGCCACCGAGTGTGATTCCTCCTCTGTCATGGGAGTGACAAGAACCTTGCCTCTTCAGGACCACCCCTTCTTCTGTTTAGATAGAGAATAGACCGACCCGGAGAGGGTCCTGCGGGCTGGATGGTTCTGAAGCAGTAGATGGACAGAGAGCCACTGTCACTTGCCTGGGAGGGGAGAGAGTACAGGGGGAGTAAAGAGGGGATGCAGAGGCTCTCTAGCCCCAGATGAGAGGAAGGAACATCCTGGAAAGACCTCTCCCTGCTTGTACCCTTTCCCTGAAGATCAGCTCTCCAGGCTTGGCCTCTAGCTAACTTCCTATCCCCAAATAGTCCCCATGGACTTTTGAATGGGAAAGACCTGAATTCTAGGCCTAGCTCAGTGAGTGCTAGACGGTGACCTTGAGTATGCCACTCACCTTCCCTCTGCCTTGGTTCCTCGTGGGCACATGGGGAGAAGAGATACTATGTTTCAAAGACCCTAAGGACACACAGGATTCCACAGTGACTATGCACACACAGATTGGCCATGCATGGCAGGTGTCATTTTCTAGCACGATTGGTTTCTATGTCCTTCCTTCCCATTACACTTTGTGTTCCTCGAGAGTAGGAGATTGTGTTTCATTTCTGTACTGGGCACACAGTAGGTACTTAGTACCTGTTTATTGAATGGATGCATCCAGGAATGAATGAATGAATGTCAGTTTCCTTCCTGTCTGTCCTAGGGGATGTAGGGAGAAGTAAGTGTGGGGTGGGTGGCATGAAGGAGTGGGCTGCTTTGCAGTCACTCATCCTGGCCTGTGGTCTGTGACTCCCTCCTACATCCACAGGTCAGAGCCCGAGAGACTGTCCGGTCAACTTCCTCACTGCACAGATGAGGAAATTAAGGCTCAGAGAGGGCAAGGCACTTGCCCAAGGTCACACAACTCATTAATGGCAGAGCCAGGATTAAGAATGAGAATTCAGGTTTCCTGACCCCCAGCCGAGGGCACTGTATCATTGCTTCCCCGAGGTTGTTCTAGCAAAGGAGGACGCTTCTGTGAAGGCCCGTTCCAATGTCCTCCCCTCTGCCCTCTGTTAGTCCTTTCTCACATCTAGCTTCAATCTCTTCTCTTTCACCCTCTTCCATCCCTCTTGAGGTCTGGCTCCTGCCTTAACCCTTTGCCAGGTAACTGAGCGTGAGGATCTTCCCTAGGGTTCCAGGAACCAGTTTCCTTTCCTTACCCCCAGCCCCGGGAACTTGCGGGCACCACGTATGGGGGGTGTTGTTCGAACCTCGGGCGCCCTCTCCACGGAGGAGCGATGGAGAGGAGTTGCCGCACGGATCTTCCCAGGAGGGGCGGGCGAGCGGGAGGGAGCTGCTGTGAGCAGGGCCGGGCGCGGGGAAGGGGTGTGGGGAGCCCCTGTTGCGTTTCCCCTTTGGGGGGGGTTATTAGGTAGGCTCGGGGAAGGCGGAGTTTGGGGGGCTGGGGGCGGGGCTCGGCGGCACCGAGAGGAAGGGG